TCCCAAGTAGTAATGACTGATCTCCAGTCAGAATGCTCTTACTGCCAGCTTTCTTGCTGTGATGCCGGATGTTCAGTGGCATGCTCACTTGAAGGCAGAGTCAACCCTGTCATGGACTTGAGATCAGTCAGAACTATTTGGAAGGAGAACACAATCACCAGCTTTCTTGCTGTGGTGCCGGATGTTCAGTGGCAGGCTCACTTGCAGGTAGAATCAACCCTGATGGGAACTCGAGATCAGTCAGAAGTACTTGGTGGGAGAGCTCGAAGACCACCAGCTTAATTGCTGTGGTGCTGAATGCTCAGTGGCAGGATCACTTAAAGGTGCAGCCAACCCTGACGAGGACTCGAGATCAGTCACAACTACTTGGGAGGACAACACAAAGACTGCCAGCTTTCTTGCTGGATATTAAGTGGCAGGCTCACTTGAAGGCGGAGTCATCCCTGACAGGGACTTGAGATCAGTCACAAATATTTGGGAGGAGAATATACAGACTGCCAGCTTTCTTGTTGTGGTGTCGGATGTTAACTGAGTGGCATGCACACTTGAAGGCAAAGTGAACCATGACGGCGACTCAAGATCTGTGCAAAGTACTTGGAAGGAGAACACAAAGACCACGAGCTTTCTTCCTGTGGTGCCAGATGTTCAGGAGCAGGCTCACTTGAAGGTGAAACCAACCGTGACATGGACTCGAGATCAGTTACAACTGCTTGGGAGGAGAACACAAAGACTGCCAGCTTTCTTGCTGTGGTGACTGATGTTCAGTGGCAGGCTCACCTGAAGGTGGAGTCAACCTTGATGGGGACTCAAGATCAGTCACAACTACTTCAGAGGAGAACACAAAGACATCTAGATTTTTTGCTGTGGTGCCAGATGATCAGTAGCAGGCTGACTTGAAGAAAGAGTCAACCCTGATGGGGACTCGAGATCAGTCACAACTACTTGGGAGAAGAAAAATACCACCAGCTTTATTGCTGTGCTGCTGGATATTCAGTGGCAGGCTTACTTGAAGGTGGAGTCAACCCTGATGGGGCCTAGAGATCAGTCACAAGTACTTGAGAGGAGAACCCAAAGATCGCCAGCTTTCTTGCTGTGGTGCCGGATGATCAATGGCAGGCTCACTTGAAGTTGGATTCAACCTTGATGGGGACTCCAGATCAGTCACAACTACTTGGGAGGAGAACAGAAAGACCACCAACTTTATTGCTGTGGTGCCAGATGTTCAGTGGCAGGCTAACTTGTTGGCAAAGTCAACCCTCAAGGAAACTGGAAGTCAGTCACACTACTTAAGAGGAGAACGCAAACACAACCAGCTTTCTTGTGGTGGTGCCGGATGTTCAGTGCTAGGCTCAAATGGAGGCAAAGTCAACCCTGACAGAGACACGACATCAGTCACATTACTTAAGATGACAACACAAAGACCGCCAGCTTTCTTGTGATGGTGCCGGATGTTCAGTGACAGGCTCACTTGGAGGCAAAGTCAACCCTGATGAGGACATGACATCAGTCACATTACTTAAGAGGAGAACACAAAGATCACCAGCTTTCTTGCTGTGGTGCTGGATGTTCCATGGCAGGCTCACTTGAAGGCAGAGTCAACCCTGACTGGGAGTTGAGATCGGTAGCAAATACTTGGGTGGAGAATATAAATACCACCAGCTTTGTTGCTGTGGTGTCAGATGTTCATGCTGTGGCAGGCTGACTTGAAGGCAAAGTAAACCCTGATGGTTACTCGAGATCTGTCAATGTACTTGGGAGAACACAAAGACCACCAGCTGACCTGCTGTGCTGCTGGATGTTCAGTGGCAGGCTCACTTGCAGGCAGTCAACCCTGACGGGGACTTGAGATCAGTCACAAATAGTTGGGAGGAAAATAACAAGACTGCCGGCTTTCTTGTTGTGCTGTTGGATGTTCATTCAGTAGCAGACTCACTTGAAGGCAAAGGTTAATCATGACTGGGACATGACATCCTTCCAGAGTGCTTGGGAGGAGAACACAAGATTCGCCAACTTCCCTGCTGTGGTGCCAGATGTTTACTGCCAGATGTTTACTCACTTGAAGGTGATATCAACCCTGACAGGGACTCGTGATCAGTCACAACTACTTGGGAGAGAACACAAAGACCACAAGCTTTCTTGTTGTGGTGGCAGATGTTCAGTGGCAGGCACACTTGAAGGCAGAGTCCACCATGACAGGGACTCGAGATCAGTCACATCCACTTGGGAGAGAACACAAAGACTGCCAGCTTTCTTGCTGTGTTGAGGGATGATCAGTGGTGGGCTCTCTTGAAGGCAGAGTCAACCCTGATGGGGACTTGAGATCAATCACAACTCTTGGGAGGAGAACACAAAGACCACCAGCTTTGTTGTTGTGATGTCAGATGTTCAGTGGCAGGCTCACTCTAAGTTGGAATCAATCTTAATGGAGACTCAAGGTCAGTAACAACTACTTTGGAGGAGAACACAAGGGCTGCCCGCTGTCTTGCTGTTGTTTTGGATGTTCAATAGCAGGCTTATTGGAAGGCAGAAGTGTCTTGAAGGGAATTTGAGATCAATCAGAATTATTTTTCTCCAGTAGCAGGGTCATTAGAAGATGGAATCAACCCTGCATGGAACTCGCTTTTAACTTCAATATTTGGGGGTTGGGGGAAAAAATCCAGGTCTCGATGGAAGATTCGGAGGAAAACCCCGGGGTGGATAGGCATTCCTCACTGCAAATGGAGCATATGGTGGACCTGGGAAATCACTTGGTGGAAAATCATGTGGAGAAACTCCAAACAGGGTTCCTGGTGGAGGTGGGGGGAAAGGAGTTCCTCTTCTCATATCGGTAACATATGTGTAATGCTCTCTGCCAAATCCTGTGTTTGGAACATCAACTGCAGAAGGATCTTTGTGTAAAAATTTGAATTTCATCTCTGTGTCAGCTAATTTTTGTCTGTACTTAGCATTTTCTTTTCTTAATCCTTTGAGGTTAATTTCAGCAGTCTGAGCTGCCAACCAATTGTCATGTGCTTTTTTCTTAAGGAGTAAAATCTGGTCTTGATAAGGAAGAATCATTCTTTCCAACTCTTCTTCAAGATGTTGGGCTTGCTTTCTATACTTGTCCAGCTGGTCAGTGGTATAGTTGATCTTTTTGTCTTGTTTAGAAAGTTTCTCTTGTCTCTCTAACTGGTCATTTTCCTCTACAGTGAATGTTTTGTAAAGTCTCTTTGTCGTTTCTTCATGTAATTCAGTCATTGCTTCAAGTTTCTGTTGAAGCTTCTGATTCTCACTTTTTTGTAGAAAACTAAATTTTTCAAGTAGGTTACATTTTTCTTTGATTTGCTCAGAAATCTCTGCAGCAAGCTTTTTCTCTCTTCCCGCATATCGCTGACTCCTGACTGATCTAAAACTTCTCCACAGGAAAAGGGGAATAGCAACAAATCCAATAACACCTGCCCATATCACTAATTCCCATGGAAAACCATTAGAATTTGATACCATACTTTCCAGCAGTGCTGCCACCATCCTGTGTAGCTTCTCCATGACCAGCCCAAGGTAGGGCTCAGGAGTAGCTCTGGGCTCCTACATAGCACCAAGCCTGTTCTGGTGGTTGCTGCAGTAACCCAAGAACTTGGAATCAGTAGCCTTCAGTCTGGAACTGGAGCAGACCACTGCAGAACCGGCTGCGGGGGGAGCTGTGGACAGGGGCGGGGTGGTGGAGGGCACTGGAGAACAGGTAGCCTTCAGTCTGGAACCCGAATCCACAGGCGGCAACTGGAGCAGACCACTGTGGAACCGGCTGCGGGGGGAGCTGTGGGATGCGGACACCCACAGGCCTCACAGGCCCACGCTGACCACCCTGACCCCTGTGTTACACTTTACATCTTGAGGTGGCGCAGGTCCGGGCCTGACCCCCATTTAACTGTTTTTTTATTGGTAATATCATATTGTGTTAATCAGCTTTTTAATAATAAAAGATTTGTTAGGGAGAGACTGCAAATTTATGATTCTTCAAAATTGCCTTGGCCATTAGTGACATTTTGCTCTTCTATGTGAATTCTACTATCAACATGTGAAGTTTCATTTAAAAAATCATTTTGGCTATTTTTTTTTGTTAGTTTTTAGAAACAGGGTCTCACTCTGTCACCCAGGCTAGAGTGCAGTGGTGCACAGCTCACTACAGCCTCGAAACCCTAGACTCAAGAGCTCCTCCCACCTCAGCCTTCCACGTAGCTAGGACTACAGGTGTGTGCCACCACACTGAGACATTTTGGTATTTTGAATTGCGTTATATTTACAGGTGATTTGGGACACATTTCCTTTTCGCATCATGAAGGTAACATTTTCCCCATTTAAGATTATTTTTTGTGCCCTTGCAAACATTTTGTAATTTTCTATGTTGATGTTTTGTGAATATTTTGTTCTTATTACTAGTTTAAGAGTAGCTTTTAAAAAATCACTTTTTTTTTCTGACAGAGTCTCGCTTTGTCACCCAGTCTGGAGTGTGGTGGGTGCAATCTTGGCTCACTGCAACCTATGGCTCCCAGGTTTATCTGATTGTCATGTCTCAGCCTCTGAGTAGCTGGGATTACAGGCATACACCAACATGCCTGGCTAATTTGTGTATTTTTAGTTAAGACAGCGTTTTGCCATTTTGGCCAGGCTGCTCTCGAACTCCTGGCCTCAAGTGATCTGCCCACCTCGGCTCCCCCGAGTGTCGTGATTATAGGCATGAGCCACTGTCTCAGCCGAATCACATTTCTTAATTGGTCACCGAATGCAGGAACACCATTTGAATTTATATTAAGCAATGTTTGTTTTTTAAAAAAACTCTATGATATGTTTAGTTAAAACAAAACATCAGAATGCATCCTACAAAATAAGCATATTGTTTGATAAAACTCAAACAAGAGTTACAACATAAAATGTAAAAATCATTAATTTGAATTTCAGGCATTTGAAGCCACTATTCTAAGTGTGAAACTGTTCCATTACTTTACATTCTTTTTATTAGTGAGAAAATACAGATATACCATTACTGTCTTTAGATTTCTAAAACAATCATCATTTCCCTCCATCTTTAATAATTCAGTCAGTTATAGAATTACATATTACCATAGTAGTCTGAAGATTTTACTGTTGTTGCTAATGAGAAGTTTGATTAGATACTATTGACTTCCCTCTGTAGATACTGTCTATTACTTCAGGGAGCATCCTAAAGTTTTCCCTTTTTCATGATGCTCTGTAGTTTTGCTTTGGTTGCTGACTTAATTTTATTATTATCGACACTTACAGCTAATTTCCCATCTAGAGACATTTCTTTCTTCATTTCTAGTAAACTCTGTGTCATTATCACTTTGAGTGTTACTTTTCTAGCGTCTTTCTCTTCTTGGCCATTTGTCAACATTTATCAGCTAAAATCCTGTTAAGTCTATTCGTTTATCCTCCAAGTTTCACAAGTGTTCTCATGTTTTTTATATCTTACTGTCTCTAACTTATTAATTTCTTATGAATGAATTAGCATCATATTTATACATTCTCACTTTCATTAGTCTAATGATTTCTTTGTAATTTTAATTATATTGACCATATTTGTCAAATCCAAGATATTTAATTGTTTCAATTTAATATTTTTTTCTCTGACATATGTAATTTTGGCTCCTTGGATGTCCCTATTTCTTGTTCTTTTCAATTTTTTCCCCCTTTGGCTCTTTGATAAACCCCAAGTAAATATCGTTCAGATTCTTCTGTCATTTCGTTTTCATTCATTTTCTGCTTGGTAGGGATTTTTAAGTTGCCTTTTTTAGGAATCTATGGGTTGTGAAAATTGAATTTTCACATTTTAAGGGGTTATTTTTTAATATCTTTTTTGGTACTCACTTCTCTCTGCTGGATAAGAGTGTCTCATTAAATTATCGTGGTACCCTTCTTTAACAAATCTTTTTAAACAAGTTGTGGTAGGAAAACTGGATATCTATCTTTAAAAATTAATGTGGACCCCTACTCTATAGTATATACAAAAATTAACTCCAAATGGATCAACGACCTAAACACAAGAGATAAAACTATAAAACTCCTAGAAGAAAACACAGGCATAAATCTTAATATCCTTTCTTGACATTTGCTAAGAGAGCAGATTGTAAGTGCTCTTACCACAAAAAATGGTAATTGTGTGAGGACAGGAATACATTAAGTAGCTTCCCTGTAGTATTTGATTTACTGTGTATATGTATATCAAAACATCATGTCACACACCTTAAATACATGCAATTTTAATAAAAAATAAAAATTTTAAGGAAAAATACAAAATGAAGAGTTCTGATGGTAAATGTAGTGCCTGCTGTCTATAAAAATAGACATTTTTCCAGAGAAGACATACAAATAGCCAATGGGTATATGAAAGGGTGCTCAATGTCACTAATCATCAGGAAAATGCAGATCAAAATCACAATGACATATCACCTGTTAGGAAGGTTATTATCAAGAAAAAAGCCAAATGGTAACAAGTTGTATTAGTCCATTTTCATGCTGCTGATAAAGGCATACCTGAGACTGGGCAATTTACAAAAGAAAGATGTTTAATGGACTCACAGTTTTCTACATTGCTAGGGAGGCCTCACAATCATGGCAGAAGGTGAAAGACACATCTCACATGGCGGCAGACAAGAGAAGAGAGAGCTTGTGCAGGGAAACTTGCTTTTTAAAACCATCATATTTCATGACACTTATTCACTGTCATGAGAATAGTGTGGGAAAAACCCACCCCCATGATTCAATTATCTCCCACTGGGTCCCTCCCACCATACATGGGAATTATGGGAGCTACAAGATGAGATTTGGATGATGACACAGAGCCAAACCATATCATGGGCGTTGGCGAAAACATTGAGAAATTGAAACCATTTTTATTGTGTTGTGGGAATGTAGAGAATGATGCAGCCATGATGGAAAACAGTATAGAGGCTCCTCCAAAAATTCAAAATAGAACTACCTTGTGATCTAGCAATCCTACTTCTGGGTGTATACAACTAAGAGAATTGAAATCAGGATCCTGAAGCACTATCTGCATTCCCATGTTCACCGTAGCATTATTCACAATAGCCAAGATAAGGAAACAAACTAAATGTCTGTCAACAGATGAATGGATAAAGAAAGTGGTGGCATATACATACCATGGAATATTATTCCACCCTAAAAAATAAAGGGAATCCTTCCATTTGTAGTAACATGAATTAACGTAGTGGACATTAAGCTAAGTGAAATAAGACAGTCACAGAAGGACAAACACTAGGTGATTCCACTTATATGAGACATTTAAAATAGTCAAACACCCAGAAGAGGAAAATAGAATTGTGATTACCGGGGGCTTGAATGAGTTGAAAATGGGCAATTGTTGCTCAATGGGTATAAAGCTTCAGTCATGCAAGATGAAAAAGTTCTAGAGGTCTGCCATACAACATAGCACCTACAGTTAAAATATTGCATTGTGTACTTAAAAACATGTTAGGAAGATAGTTCTCATTTCTCACAATATGAGAAAAAAAATGAGAAAAAAACAATATGAGAAAAAATATATATATATTATTTTTCTTACCATACAGAAAAATAATAAACAAAGACCACACACATAAAAGAATACAAGAAAAGTTTTGAAAGTTATGAATATGTTTAGTACCTTGATTGTACTAAATGATATCACATGTGTATGCATGTTCAAACTCAACAAAATACATACATTAAGTCTGTGCAGTTTTGTGTTTATAAATTATACCTCAATGAAGCTAAAAAATATCCTATGACCTTGGATTAGACAATGGCTTTTTAGGTATGACAGCTAAAACACAAGCAGTCAAAGGAAAAAATACATAATAAAACTTCATCAAAATTATAAAACTTATATGCTTCAAAGAACATTATTGAGAAAGTGAAAATGAAAACTGTATAATAGAATAAGATATTTGCTAATTATATATCTGACAAAGATCTAGTATCTAGGATATATAAAGAATCCTTACTAGTCAACAATAAAAAGTAGCCCAATTAAAACCTGGACAAAGGATTTAAATAGACATTTCTCCAAAAAAGATAAATAGTTAACGAGCACGAGAAAAGATGCTCAATATCCTTAGCAATTAAATAAATTCAAATTAAAACAATGAGATACCATTTTACACCCACTAAGATCACTGTAATTGAAAATACAGGTAATAACAAATATTGGTGAGAATGTGGAGAAATTGGAATTCTCATACATTGCTAGTGCAAATGTAATTGAGTTGGAAAATAACTTGACAGTTCCTCAGAAAGTCCAACATACAGTTACCATATGACTCAGCAATTTCACTTCTAGGTATATACCCAAGAGAAGTAAAAACATATGTCCATAGGAAACTTATACACAAATGTTTGCAGCAGTATTATTAATAATGGTCCCAGAGTGGAGACAACCCGAATGTCCATCAAGTGATGAATGAATAAACATGTTAGCATATCCATTCAATGGTATTATCCAGTCACAAAAAAAGAATGAAGTACTGATACCCAGATGAACCCTGAAGACATTATACTAGGTGAAAGAAGCTGGGCACAAAAGGCCACCTACTGTAGGATTCCATTTATATGAAATGTCTAGAATAGGCAAATCCATGCAGTGAAAAGTAGATTAATAATTGCCAGGTGCCAGGAAAGTGGAGAATGGGGAATGGCTACTAATGTGCATGGTTTTTCATTTAGGGGTGATGAAAGTGTTCTGCAATTAGATAGTGATAGGTTGCATGATTTCGTGAATATACTTAAAAACCAGTGAATTGTACAATTTAAGGAATGAATTTTATGGTTTGTTAATTCAATCTCAACTTAAAACAGATTAAATATTAATTAGCAGATATAAAAGGCATTTGATATATATAATAGTTCTTCCTTTTCCTCTTCCCTATTCCCAGATCCTAAGGAAACGCTGATGTCCTACGTCACCATGTTTATCCTGCGGCTTCTTGTATTGCCCGGCTCATCTCCAGGCACTCATAGTTGAGAAACATGGGCCTAGGAAACTGAAAAGGGAGTCAAAGGGCCAGAGGTTCTCGGGTCCCTTAGGTGATGGGATCCATCAAAAAACCACAGTGAATCACCATGATAACATAAACATATTAAAAAATCCGAGATCTTGAGAAATTTTATCTTTCACAAATGTGGATGTGCAAAAGGAACATCTCTCCATTTACAGAAGATGTTTCAAGATTTTTCTATGTGGCTCTGCTCTTTTAAACAGGCACAATGTTTACACACAAACTCGTTGTTGTGATAATATACTTTTGTGAAGTCAAATTTGCAAAAATCTATCAATGAATTAGAACTTTCTGAAAGTCTCTACACAATTTATACCTCCAGTATTGCAAAAAAGGCAAAGATGAAATACATAGCATAGTGAATTGTAAACAATTAAATAAATTCAAATTAAAACAATGGTCCATCAATGAGGGAGAGTCCTCCTGGGGAGGGGCTTCCATGCCTCCCATTCTGGGCACTTCCAGACTGTCTTCAGGAGTTGCTGTCCTTTAGTCATTCTATTTTGTTCTGAGGCTAGTGCAAGAGGGAGACAGGTGAGCACATGCTGGAGGGTGGGGACATGTGGGACGGCTTCAGTCCAGGCACGGCTGCAGGACCCGGCCACCCGGCTTTCCCTGGCGGGAGAAGAGCAGCCCAAGCAGGCTGCGGGTGCAGTCCCAGCTCACACAAGGCCCACAGCGCCCTGCAGGGCCCCAGAGCCCCACCTTAATTTTCACCTTTTGTTCCCTCCTGTTTTCCTGCTTTGGAGACCTTGTTAAGAGGGACTCGAACCAAAAGCTTATAAACACGACACCTGCATTCCCTTCCAGTCCTTCATGGTTTTTTTTTTACACACAAAGTTCACAACCTTTACTTTTTCCAACTGGAAAACCAGTTTTTCCAACACTGTTTTTAAAAAAGATCCTTTTGTCATATGCTGAAAGCCCTACCCATACATAACAAGCCCACTTCCGCATCTGACTCTGTGGGAGCCTTAGCTTAATAATGAGTCCCCATTTGGTGCCTTCCATCTCTGACTTGAAAATGCAAAGTAAACATTGGAGTCATCCCATTCTACCCATCCCCATTCCCCCTTCACACACACACACACACACACACACACACACACACAAATCCTCTGTGCTGACTGAGAAAGAATGCAAATAATTACAAGTATGAGAGATTAGCCATCACCACTTTGGGAAGTGAAATAAGAGGGAATTTGATGGCAATAATAATTTTAAGATAGGAGATTATTTCTAAGTTTTCTAATGAATGGGGTGTGTCTATAGCCATAGCACCATGAACATACCGGATCTAATGTATGGGGTGGCTGACTTTCCTACAAGACAGAAGCCTAAATAGGCATTCTCCAATAAGTCATTTCCTTTGTCGTTGACAGAATAATGGATGGGACAGGTTATAATCATTACAACAGAGTGGGCATTTGGTTTGATTTGCTTTAAGTTAAGCTGCAGGCTGCTGAAGGTGAAACGTACACACACAATACGACTTCATATTGCGCCGAATGTAGTATTTCAAGGTTTGAGTGATACTACCAGGAGGTTTTCTGGCTAGAGGCCCCTGAGGGAGCATTCGCTAAGCCAGGGTGGAGTCTCTGCAGTACACAGACTCTGAATTTCCTTCATGAGTTCAAGCAGACATTACTAATCATCACATCATTCTGTCAAGCTAGTCACAGACATGTCCCTAGGATCTTGCTCAGCACAGAACGTTTCTCAACTGTTAATGATTGAAGTTAGCATATAGATTAAAATCTACTTAGCGTCCCTAATGGAGGTTAATTTACCTTAATTCAGAGTCTTGGTCCTTGGTTTTTTCAGTCTCCCAGACTCAGATTCAGGGAGAGTGATTCAAGTTCATCAAGTTACTGGGGACCAAATAAATGAATACAGTGATAGACGAATCCATGATAGATAGATAGATAGGAAATGCATATGATTTTTCAATGGCAATAACTTTGATAATGGGGGGAAATGCTCCCTTTTTGCTGTTGTAATCCTTGGTAAAGTGGTTTTATGAATACAAAATGAGAGCAAAAAAAAGGTGAAGAATTTTAAAGTCTTTTCCAACCAACTCTATAGTCTAACCTGAAATACATTTCCTTTCCCACGAGAAAAATGGAGTAGAAACTGTTTCCCGTGGCCATCACCTAAGGGACCCGAGAACCTCTGGCCCTTTGACTCCCTTTCCGGTCCCATCAAAAGACTTGGGTTGTGCAGCACAGTATTTCAGATAAACTGCAATTTTAAATCTGGGTGCACACAATTTCCAACAATAGCAATATGCACTTACATATTTCCCTTTTTAACCTATTTCTTCATGAATATGAAGAAATAAATATATAATAAATATATATTTATTTGCTCATTACTGTTATAGTAATGAGTATACACTGTTGTTAGAATACCCAAGTGCTTATGCTTGCAAAAAAAATGTATTTTTGCCTATTTTATTGTGTAAAGTAGCCTATAGTGTTCTGTCATGTTTTTATGTGTCTCAAGTAAATCCCCTTTTGAAAATGTAAATTCACAGCTTTAACGTTTTTTAAAATGTTTTTTCCCAGAATTACAGTTTCGTGATTTTGATCTTTTGGGATTTCAGCATTCAAAATTATGACATGGCTTCCATAGGAAATGAACTGAAGTTTACATTGAATTTCATTTTCGAGTAGATGAGAAAGCAGGAGAGGGTGAACTTTTTTTTTTTTTTTCTTCACGGGGTGTTCCTGAGTTTATTTGGGGCACA